TGTGTCTAATTGTTGTGGGGGGCGGCCCCGGAACGGATCTAACTCTTATTGTTGACAGCCTAAAGACTTGACTCTAGTCGATCCCAGTGGGCATCAGGGCTGGATGATCGAGACATGCTGGCTCACTGGTGAAGAGAGAGAGGGAGAGAGAGAGAGAGAGAGAGGGAGAGAGGGACAGCACGAAAAGGCCAATGCAAGTATTTACGGCGTTAACAGGCTGCGATTATAGTAATTATATGTTTTATGCACGGTCTGCTTGAGGAAAACAAACAGTTTTAGACCAGTGTGAGCGTAGACCAGACACCTGTTATCTCGGTCGCAAATGGCGAGGTGTGTCTAATTGTTGTGGGGGGCGGCCCCGGAACGGATCTAACTCTTATTGTTGACAGCGTGATCGTCTAAAGACTTTGGCAGCTTGGGTCGTCAATCTATTACTCAGCTTTCTCTGATGATTCTCAAAGGTTCGGTGATGGTTTGAGGTGATTCAGTTTGGATCCTGTGGCACACTGTGCCCCGCCGTGGAGGCAACTGTCACTTCACCAACTAAGCACTAGAGGGAGTGTTACCTGTAGGTGAACAAAAATGGCTAGAATACAGAAATTTCCTTTAAATTTGAATTCAAACACTGTTTAAACTAAATTTAAAATAAGTGAGTGGTAAAGTGAGAGAGAACGAGGGAGAGAGAACCCTGATTAAAAAAAAGATAATTTTTTTTTTTTTTTATTAAAATAAAAAAAATAAAATAAATAAACATAAAAATAATAAAATAAAATAAAAGGAACAAAATAAAACAAACTAAACAAAATTATAAAAGTCATAAAAGATAATAAAGTAAAACAAAAGTAGTACTGGATATGAAAACTAATACAAAACAAGAAATAAAAATAAATGACAAAATTATAAAAGTAATAAAAGATAATAAAGTAAAACAAAAGTAGTACTGGATATGAAAACTAATACAAAACAAGAAATAAAAATAAATGAGTAAATAAAATTAGAAATGAAACGGCAGGTACATAGAATGACCAATGGGAAATTAAAAT